TTGTCTGTGAATTGCATCAAAGAACATTTTGCAAGACAATGGGGTTGATTTACTAAAGCTGGAGAAATCCAGTGCGGCTCTGCATAGAAACCAATCAATTTCCATTTTTTTTGTCAAAGCCTACTTGAACACGCTGACTGGCTCCCATGAAAGCTGCACCAGGTTTGCCCTCTACAGTTTTTAGTAAATCACCCCCAATATAACCTACAGAGTCTTGTTGGGAGGGGACCCTTCTGAGCACAGTAACAGTGACCGGTGTGCTGTAGAGCCATTAGGATGAGTTTTATATGAAATTGAATCAGTGGTGAAAATGTTCATACAAGATCCTGTGTGCAGCTGCAGCCATGATCCTGGCGTAGTCACTTGTCTCCCAGAACATATATATATATATACAGATGGCGAGTGGCTACAACACTCAGTATCTACAGAGCCAATGTAGGCAGACATCTTCTATAAAGGTATTCAATAATTCTGTAAAAGTCCCTTTGATTGGGAGACGAGCATCGCTTTACCTTTGCAGATGGGAATTCCAGCTGATTCCATTCATGGGGCACAATGGCGAGTGATGTGACGTCACATTTGTAAGTATTTCATGGTAGGTGGACCCGGCTGAGCCTCAGTCAGGTGATATAGAGCGTTCATGAAAAACATCACAACTTTACACTTCGGAGTCTACTTATAAAACATTTTGTTTGCACAAACGTCAGCAGCATTGGCTTTAAGCCGAGTGAAATGTCCTGTATTTATTCTATTAGATAAATGCCTTTATCGTCAGCTCCGCCTAGTGGCCAAAATGCAGCATATTTTCATTAAATCTGACAATGAGAAAAACTATAATACATTCTGGCCACCAGATGGAGCTGACGGAGCTGACTATAACCGGCACTAATCTCTTAGAAACAATACGGGACATTTTGTTGACATTTGTGTGATGAATATTTTATACATAGACCTCTGGATGGGTTTGATATTCTCTCCATGTTCCTTTTTAAATCTCTGTTAGCAGGGCTTATTTTTCTCAGAAAAAAGGTGCAGTTATCTTCCCTTTTCTCCACCCCCAAATACCTCCAAGCACTGTCCCTTGGTTCCACCCCAGTACCGCCCCTTTTAGGGAGTACAGAACTAAGTATCATTTTCAGGTGCTAATTTGCATGGAATGTGTGTTTATGATAACAAGAAAAGCAGTAAAATAGATCCCCCACAGCCAGCAACAATACACCCCCAGCAACACTAGACCCCCACGACAATAATCACCTCAGTAATAAAAGGTACACCCAAGCAACAATAGATCCCCACCAGCAACAATGTATCTCCAGGAGCCAGCATCATTACACCCCTCACTTAACAGCAGATCCCTCCCAGCTACAATTGACCCCCCCAGCAACAATACAACCCCTGAAACACTAAACTCCAAGAAACAATAGATCCCCCAGTAGCCAGCATCAATAGACACTCCAACATATCCCAGCACCCCTTGCCATTACATACATTCAGTGGTGGAGGTGCCAGAACTACATCCCCCCCATGCTCCCCCCCGCCTTCCCCCGCGTTCCCACAGGAAAAATCTCTGCCTGTTCATATATGATCATTCTGCAGTTTTCCATTCACAAGAGTTTCATTCTTATCCCGAAAAAAGTTCTATGAGTGCATTTGACCAATTTTTGGTTTTGGCTCCCCCCCAATATTGCTGTGTAGTGGGCTGGACCCCGGAGACAGCATGCTTGTCCTGTGGATGTCCTTGTCTGTATGATGTATGTATGGGGACCGTTTTATGACATGGAGGTGGACAATGTCTGAATAGACTGGTTTAGGAAGGTTCATATTGCTGACTCACATTGGCTGTCATAGGAAATCCTGTTCTCCTAGTTCCCCGATAGTTCCTTCTCAGCCCCCCAAAATCTGTTCTCCAGATAACGTCAACAATAATGTATATAGCAGCTTTATTTGTAATAGGAAATCCCAACAATCACTGACATCGATCTAAAGTTAGAGGAAACTATGATCTTCAGCAGAGAATTGACATTCATCAGATGTCTGCCATTGCAAGATTTATTTCTGACCGCCCAACAATAATCTATATAACTTCTTTTATTTACTTGGCAATCCCAACAATCACTGACACAGATCAGAAGTGAGAGGAAGGAATTATTTCCAGTGGAGGTCTGCTGGAGAATCCACGTTCATCAAATTGTCTGTCATTACAAATGTATTATGACAATCCAAAAAATTTAATTTCCAGATACCTCCAACAATAATGTATTTCACTTTTTTGTTTTTTATTATTTATGAACTATCAAAAATCATTGGCAGAGATCTAAAGTGAAAGTAGAGAATCCACATTTATCAAATTGTCTGTCATTACAATTTTTTTTGACTACCCAAAAATCTATTTTTCAGATAACTCCGACAATAAAGTATTTATCTTTTTAATTTTAATACTTTTTTTTTTACCAACAATCAAAATACCAACAACCATTGGCACAGATGTAAAGTGAGAGAAATCTACTATTGTGAATGGAGTTCTGCAGGAGAATCAACATTCATCAGATTGGTTTCTGTTACTACAATTTTTTTATTTACCATTTTTATTTTATTGAACTTTTTTTGTTTACCTTCTTTATATTAAATTTACTTTGAATCTATTCATCTGTACTTCAGCATCACCTATTTTCCTTTCCAACTTTGGAGAAACATTTCTCAGAAATAATGTAATAATACAAAGCATTGAGTTATTTATAAATTGACTGGACTTGGAGGTCACTGAGGGATGAATTATTCCAGGTAATGCTTTGTTTTCTATAGAGATTAATTTACTAAAAGTCAGATATTGCCATTCGTGTGGAATAATATAGAACAAATCTAGTCTCCTGTGTGCTCCGGTGATACAGTATCAGAGGGAATGTCTGCATTATAAATATATGGATGTGGAGCTCATCAAACTGTATTGTGACTCTGAATGTCACACCGATTGTCTGTTCTATGATATGACCTTCCTCCAGCAAAATGTCTCCATATCAGACCTGCTGCCACTGAACTGACCCTTCCAGGGAACGTTCCTCCACCTCTCTTCCATCACAATTTATCTCTGGTGGGTCAAAGACTAAATCTAGGAAGAGTCTGAAACAAGAAAACATATATTTATAGGTCCCATATCTTATAGACTTTATTATTACCGAGAAATATCAGTTCAGCCTAAAAGATGGGATATTTATATATCTATAGGCTCCTCAGATTTGGTTTCTTTGATAGAACAATATATATATATATACCTAAAGGGGCTTCATTTATTGTAATCAACTTTACAATGAAATCCTCCTAATTCCATTCAGAGGCAGAAGCAACACTCTCCATTTACTGTAGTAAGGTCTCACTTTCTGGCAGTTATTGCAGCGATCTCGGCTCTGTGTGGAGAGAGAAAGAAAGTTCATTCATTCATCCCCAAATAGAACCAATGGCACATCATTTACACACCTAAGTCCGCCTCTGGGAGCTGAATTTGGGGTTCTGGTTTACAGGTTGGGCTCCCCACATTACACAAAAATACAGATTATTTATGGAAAGACTTCAAAATAAATTAATGTTCCTGGAAGGTCGCCGGAATAATATCATTTCTTCTGTTTTGGTTTTGCCTGTTTTCTTCTTCTCATTTTTTATTTTCTTTTTATTATGTTATACTCGCCTTTTGTAACATTTTCCAACATTCATGTCATAGTGGGAATTGGTCACACGGTCTGTCACTGGTTTTGGTGTTTTTGGCACAATTGGTCATATTGTTTCAAACCGTTTTGTCATGTGAGTGCTGATTGTCCAGTTTGCCACTTAGAAAATATTGAAGTGTATGATAATGATTGCTCCATTGTTCTTCTTCATTGTTTTAGCAAAATGTATTGAATCTTTTAGAAATTCTTTTATTTTGTGTTATAATAGTACTAGAATTGCCTCTTATATGGTATTATCACAACAATTGACTAATTCCTCCTTTTTTTTACCAAACCCTAAATATGTATAAAAATATTTATATATGTTATTTATTGTGAACTCTTATATCATCTTGCTGTTGCAGACCTGAAGAGCGGGGAGTTTCTGAATCTATTAATTGCATTGAAGTTATTATTATTATTATTATTTTAGTAATTATTTAACATATTAGTCATATTATTATTTAATTTATTATTATTTAATACAAATACCATGTTAGAGTTATTAACCATTGGTGTGGCTTTCCTACTGATTCTTACATTCTCTTTATATGGTTTTTTTTTTCTAAAATACTACTTTAGATTTCTGTTTGTTTTTTTTTTTATAAATAATTTTATTATATGAATTTTATTGTTTATTATGAAGTTTATATTATCTTGTTGTTGTCACCATGAAAAAAGGGACAGTGCCTGAAACTGGAAACACAATAAAAATATGTTAAACTGATCACTGGTGTGGATTTCTTACTGGTTCTTGTATAGTTTTTTTTTTTTTTATTATTTATATAATCCACACCTAGGCAGCAAATTTGATATTTCCACCAACATTTCAGATTGTAAGAGAAGAATTATAACATTTGCCATTATTTATAGTAATAAGAGACCAGGTCATGTTTTCTGCAAAAACTTTAAGTTTTGAATTTCAGGTTGCAAATTTGTTTTAGAAATAGAACATTAGATGTTGTGAAATATAACAAATCAATTTATTCCCTAAATTGCAGCCAGAAGTGAATTGCATATTATTTCTGTACATCTTTTAATTTTTTTATATAGAATTAACAAAAGGAAGCTACATTGTTGCTATGAGAAATCAGACAATTATGAAGGAGTTAATTCTCGTGGGACTGTCTGAAGTTCCATCTCTGCAGTTTCCTCTGTTTCTCTTCTTCCTTCTCATCTACCTTCTGACATTAATCTGGAATTTGCTGATCATTGTCCTCATAGTCACCGACTCTCACCTCCATGTTCCTATGTATTTCTTCCTTGGGAACCTGGCTGGTTTGAACCTCTGTTCTTCCTCAGTCACCGTCCCACGAATGTTATTTGACCTTCACACCCAGACAAGACAGATTACCATAACAGATTGTCTAACCCAAGTCTTCTTCTTTTTTTTCTGTACTACTTCTGAGGTTTCTCTGTTGACTGTCATGTCCTACGATCGATATGCCGCCATTTGTCAGCCATTACATTACATACAGACCATGAGTTGGAAAGTGTGTGTCCAGTTGGTGTCCATCGTGTGGTGTCTCGGTTTAATCCATTCTTCCATTGAAGTATGTTATACTTTTCAATTAAACTTTTGTAAATCAGATATTATAGAAAGCTTCTTCTGTGACCTTCCTCAGTTGTTTCAGATCTCCTGCAGTGACATCTTCATCAACATTCTACTCGTCTTTATCTTTGGTATCTTCCTTGGAGTGGGGTGTCTGATACCGACCTTCCTGTCCTATGTCTATATATTCAACACGGTCCTAACAATCAAAGTGAAGGGCAGTAGAAGTAAAGTTTTCTCCACATGTACCCCTCATCTCACAGTGGTGTTTATACTTTTTGGATCTGCATTTTTTAATTATTTTCAGCTAAATGAAAGCCATCGGTATTCCAGTAACAAAGTGGTGTCCGTGTTTTACACGGTGATCCTTCCTCTCCTCAACCCTCTGATTTACAGTCTGAGGAACCAGGATATCAGAAAAGCATTCCGAGATGTTATAGAGAAGTTCATCCCCAATACAGCATAACATTCACCGAAACTAAACCTCTAGTTTAGGAAGGAGCTTCTGAGAGTAAACTTTGGGGCCCCCATTTGGTATTGTCCATCATGGCATCATTTATCTCATTGTATGACTACCAACCCCCCCCCCCCCCCATCCTGACTTCATCAGCATGCTAGATAATAGGTGATACCTTTCATGAGGAGGAGGACTATAAGCTGGGCACACACTACAAGAAAATCGGGAAATGATTGTCCAGTTTTCCTCGATGTTTCACAGCAAGTCCAAACTGAGGATGGTACTAATTGTACGTGAACTCTCATACAACAAAGGATTTTTTGGTTGTTTATTGTTTCTGATCATACGCAACATGTCGAACATTGTGTACACTCTATACGTAAGTTGAACAATCATTGCCGTAGGGAATGTTTCTTCTGATCGGGCCATGTGGGCAGACTCTGAACTGAACATATGAGTCTAGTATATTGTAAGTAACCAAATGATCATTTTTTAATCCATTGAGAATAAAATGATAATATTGTTTATCCAACTGATGTCTCCAATTCATGTGTGAACTTTGATGGTCCCACTTATTTTGGTGTTTGATTTTGTCACCTTATTGTATGTCTGACGTCATCACGTGTGTGGTACCGCTATCAGCGCTTGGTTGGGTTGTCATGGGAGCGGCTGGCTCTCTGCTAACCAAGTCATTGACAATAATTCATCCCATGTTTGTACCATACATACATCATATTTATGGTGCACAAAGTTTGAGCATCCCGGCATGAGATCTTTACTAGTCAGGTGTGGAAAAGTCAGACAGAGGAGGTAATAATAGATCTACAGTGGGGGGGGGGGGCAGCTCTGTGTATTTCACCACTTCAGCCCCCGGATAATTCTGACACTTCTCTCCTACATGTAAAAATCAGCATTTATCAGCTAGAAAATTACTTAGACCACCCAAATATTATACATTTTTAAGCAGAGGTCCTAGACAATGAAATGGTGGGTGTTGCAACTTTTTCACACGGTATCTGTGCAGTGGTTTTTCCAAAGCAATTTATGTGGAAAAAAAAAATACACTTTAATGAATTTTAATGCACAAAAACACATAATACCAAATCGTTTGGTAAAATATGAAAGATGATGTTGTGGAGAGAGAGCAGATAGATACCTAACATGTCACACTTTAAAATTGGTCGTGTCCATGGAATGGTGACAAACTACCGTACCTAAAAAACTCCATAGACAACACTTTAAAAGTCTTTACAGGTTACCAGTTCAGAGTTACACGGGAGGTGTAGAGGGACCCCCTAAGGCTTGGGACTTTAAAGGCTTAATTAGTAACACAAAATTATTTTAAAAAGTACAAACTTTTTACTTGTCAAAAATATTTGTAACACATAGACAAAGAATACAATACATCATTCGGAGTCATAGTACAGCATCACAATCAGAATATGAAATGACATGATGAGGATTCCCGGTATGACTTTGTTTGACTCGCCATACAAGAATCTATATTATGATGTCACCATTAGTATACACAACTGCAGAGATATTATTCTCATTGACCAACGCGTTTCGGAGTGACTTCACTCCTTCCTCAGGGAAAGGAGAAGAACTCTGCATACGGGTGACATCATCTACAAAATTAAACATAGATTTGTTTGGAACATTTCTCATATCCACCACAACATTTAACAGACCAGAGCTGATCAACCAGAGGTGGTCATATTGTAGACCTAGTATGGACAAATGGGGATCCATTGTCTGATGGTGAGATGGCAGAAATGTGGGTTCTAGTGATCAGCAATGTTTTTGGTCTGATAATAAAACAAGAACTGAATAATCATTTACAAAAAACAAAATATTCAGCTTTCAAAAGGACACATTTTGCTGGAAAGGGGGAATTTCTAAAAAAAAAAAAAATGAATCAAAAAGACCGGAGTCAGGAATTAGTGGGTGCTAAAGTCTACCCTCCTGGAGGAAACCAGATTATATGTCAGGGAAATGAGTAAGAGTGAGCAGAAGAAAAAACAAATATGGTTCACTAAAGAGGTAAGTAGAATAGAAAAGGATAAAAAATCATCATATAGAAGAGTCAGGGAAACAGGAGGTGCAGCTGATAGACAAGTGTATGAAAACAGACAAAAGGAGGCCAAACACATGATCAGAGCTGCCAAAGCACAGAAAGCAGGAAATTGCTGAATCTAATAAGAAACGTGACAAAACCTTTCAGGTACATCAGAGATTTAAGGAAAAAATACAATGGGTGGGGCCGTCTTTAATGCAGGGCATATGGGTTAGCTGCCCGGGGCCCAGTCTTTGTTGTGGGGCCCAAAGCAGCTGCCCCTTAAGCCCATGCTACCAGCAAATTGGGGCCCCGATGATTGCAGTGCAGAGCACACAGGGTACACTGGAGTAATCGCTGTATTCCCCAGGCAGCAGAGAGGGGGCGGGGCCAGGAGCTCCACTGACCCCGCCCCACACAGCCTGTATGCTTGGGAGGGAGCTGCTGTAGTAGAAGTTGTGATGTGAGTGGGAGCCCCTCCCCCCGACCTCAGAGAGGATGTTGAGCCCGGCTGGCCAGGTATGTCCTCCCCCCCCCCATAGACTGCCTGTGGACTGTTATACCGACCCGGAGCTGATTCTCATAAACTGCATATCTGTGCATTGCTGAAAGGTCTCCGGTCATCTCCTGTACTGTGTCCGCAGTCTCTGCTCATCTCCTGTACTGTGTCCGCAGTCTCTGGTCATCCCCTGTACTGTGTCCGCAGTCTCTGGTCATCCCTGTACTGTGTCCGTAGTCTCTGGTCATCCCCTGTACTATGTCTGCAGTCTCTGGTCATCTCCTGTACTGTGTCTGCAGTCTCTGGTCATCTCCTGTACTGTGTCTGCAGTCTCTGGTCATCTCCTGTACTGTGTCTGCAGTCTCTGGTCATCTCCTGTACTGTGTCTGCAGTCTCTTGTCATCTCCTGTACTGTGTCTGCAGTCTCTGGTCATCTCCTGTACTATGTCTGCAGTCTCTGGTCATCTCCTGTACTGTGTCTGCAGTCTCTGGTCATCTCCTGTACTATGTCTGCAGTCTCTGGTCATCTCCTGTACTATGTCTGCAGTCTCTGGTCATCTCCTGTACTGTGTCTGCAGTCTCTGGTCATCTCCTGTACTATGTCTGCAGTCTCTGCTCATCTCCTGTACTATGTCTGCAGTCTCTGGTCATCTCCTGTACTATGTCTGCAGTCTCTGGTCATCAATATATAGTAACCTCTAGCAACCAATCATCAAGCAGAAATGATGTGCTGTAACCTCTAAACAGTCAGTGAGCGGTATTGATAGGCTGTAACCTTTGGCAACCAATTGTAATCACTGACTGATCTGCTGCAGTAAACTGATTGTGAGTCTACCTGCTGTTTCTTGTATGTCTTATAGTGTGTGGGGGGTCAGGGGGGGCAAGAAAATGTTTGCCCAGGGCCCAACCAGTATTAAAAACGGCCCTGACAATGGGATCACTAACATGAAAAGTAGACACAACACTTATGTTGGGGGAGGTGATGTAACATGTACCCGCCGGCCGTATGCATACATGGCCTCTCAGTAGTTGGCCTTCAATGCCGAAAGGGCTGAATGTGTCCCGAATGTAAACATTTCTGTGCTGAGATCACGTGCCCTGCACGCTCCAATCACAGTTACTGGCAGGTACAGGAAAGCTCCCAATGCCTACTTGCAATTGGGAGCTTTCCGATCATATGACTGCTGTCACTGCGGATCACATTGGTCACATGACCAGAATGCTGGCCTCCACCTCCCCTCATTGAGAACCTCTTAAAGGGCCGGGAGACGGCAGCCGGAAGGGGTTAAACAATTACTTCTGTTTAGTCTTCTCAGAAATAAATTGTACTAACAATCCCAAGTTGGGAGATGGTGTTGGTTGGTGTAATGATGGCGCATTTTCAGGATTTCTTCAATCTTATAGCTGATAAAAGCAACGGGCCCTCGTGGTATTCATCCCAGAGTTCTAGGAGAACGTTTAGGGTATAGTTGTGGGACTATTCATGGATCTTTAGAATCAATCTCTTCTAACAGGAGAAGTTCCCCATGACTGGCGGACAGCTAATATTGTAACCACAAGAAGAGCAGCGAGGTAGAAGCAATTACAGGCCGGTGAGTTCAGTTTTAGTCAAAGTTGGTGAAATGATTCCTGAAAAGAAGGATCATTGACCACATAAATCACACAACTTGCTGGACCCGACGCAGCATGGCTTTACTGAGGGAGATCACGGCAGACTCATCTGATTGGATTCTATGACTGTATCACTAATGTTTGGACCAGGGTGGTGCTGAGGACATGGCACATCTTGGTTTCAGCAAGCCATTGGTACAGTTCCACATAATGATCTAATACAAAAGTGGTAAAAGCTGAGACTTAACCCTTGGGGGGCTCCAAGGATGTGCAGTTGGCTAAGGGATAGATAGCAGAATGTGGTTGTAAATGGGGTCCATGTGGAACAGAGACCAGTCACTAGCGGTGTACACAAGGCTCTGTACTGGGTCCTGTTCTATGTCATCTATATGTAAGTGATACAACTGAAGGGTTGCTGGGTAAGGGACGTCTTCTTGTTGAGGACACAAAGGTGTGCAATAGGGATAATATCCTTGGAGGTGTCTGTAACATGGAACTAGATGTGACATTGCTGGAAGATCGGGCAAACTGTGGAAACTGCAGTATAATGTTTCTAAAGATACAATAATGCACCTCGGGAAACAGAATCCCTTGAGAGAGTACAATGTTGGGGGTATAGTGCTGGCCAGCTCTACAGAAGTACAAAAAAACTTTGGGAGTACTTATTTCAGATGATTGCAAAATGGGCAACCAGTGTACCCATGAAGTAGAAAAAGTGAATAGAATTCTAGGATGCTGTAACGGAACCGGTACCTGACCGCACTTGGGTATATTCCGTTATCCTGCAGCACCCAGCTCTTAAAACAGAAAGCCAACTCTTTATTTTAACACAAAACACAGAAT